TTTTTTTTTTTTTTGAGACAGGGTCTCACTAAATTGCTAAATATAACAGGTGGGGCTCAAACTCATGATCCTCCTCCCTCAGCCTCCCAGAGTGCTGGGATTACAGGCACACATGCCACCACACCCAGCTTCCCATTGCTCTTTGATCAGAGACTGGCATAGGGTAAACACCAAAAAGTACGGACAGAAGAGAAGAGGGGTGGGTGGAAGGAGAGGAAGGCTATTGTTTTACTGGGCCCTGTGCTTTTTGGGAAAGACTTGGCCCAGACAGCATCCTGGGCTGCAATAGCATCCCCAGAGCAAGGAACTGCTCAACCAGGAAGAGCGAACAGTTGGCAAGTGCACTTGTGCACACAGACACACACACAGACACACACACACACACACACACGCACGCACACACACACACACACGCCAGACATCACTCAGTAATCACTACATTTTTTTCCTTCAGCTTCAAAATCCCCCGCACCACCCAGTAGGCTGTCGCTACCAATCAACTGGTGCTGGCATAAAGGAAACCTGTCTGCCTTCCCAGGTCTAGATCAGTCACAGGACCAGCTGGACTCCAAACACTGTGACATGTGAGAAGGGGAAGTGGTGTATGGGCAGGCACTCAGAGCCAAAGTGGGTACACTTGGGGGCAGGGTGAAGGAATGGGTAGAAAGCAACTCCCATTCTTTATGTCTTCAGTACCCTGTGATCTGTGGGGTTTTTTGTTCACAAAAGATGCCATCATCCCACCCACCACAGAAGGCATCTCTGGGAGGAGCTGGGAATGCCTTGCCGTTTGCCCTTCCCACATGGGAATGGCCAGCACATTCTGTTCTCGCCCACTCCCTCACCCGCCTCCTCCACAGGGCTCTCTGACTTGGCAAAGGCTGCCTGTATTTTGTTGGAGTGATGGAGGCCAGGGTTGGTGCTTATACCAGGGGTTCACCTGCTGCTTTGATCATTGTCCCAAGCCCAGCCACACCACCCCATAGCAGAAGACTCAAGAAACTTTCTGCCAGCCACAAGGTGGGCCCACACCCTCTTCAGCCTGCCTCCCCACAGCAGAGGAGCAAAGGAGTCACATACACGTAGCCGATGATATCAGCATCTGGCTGCTGGTAGAATGCTTTGTCAGCGATCCTTGAGGGAAAGGTTAGGGAAGAGGTTAGGAGGGGGAGACAGACAGCAAGACAGGCAGGCAGGGGGTTAAAGACAAAGAGAGATAGCATTAGTACCTCCAGTGGGAAACTAGTTAGGAAGCATAGTTCAAAAGCTCAGCAACTACCCACAGCCCCAGAGGGGACAGTGGGGAATCTTCCACTCTGGCTACCGTGCCTTTTCTGAAACTCAGAGCCTGATCAGTGGCTCTCCCCACTTCCCATGTCTCTGCTCAAGGCCCTCCCAGTGCAACTCCCCTGCCTGCCTCCCACCTTCTCTGCTGCTATTCCCTGACCCCTTACGGTCCACTACACTATATCCTCTTGCCTACTGTGCTCTTCCCAGTTCTAGAATGCTCTCCCTTACACTATGCCCCTTTTTCCCCCCTGAACTTCTAGTCATCCTCCAAAGCCCAAATCTCCAGACACAAGGATTCCTCCCCAGCATGCTCCTTGTTTCTAGGACCCTCACGTAGAGGCCCCACTATATTCTAGTGTGGTTATGTGTGTTTTTTTCTCCTGAGCTCTTTGAGGACACAGTCTGGGCCCTCCTTACCTCTGACTCCCCAGTGCCCAGCCTACAGCCCAGCAATTTCTTGAACACAAACTCGTCATCTTTGTCTTTTCCTTTTGGGAAGATCTTGAACCTTGAAGGGCACAGCCTCCAAGGCAAGGGCTACTGGGCAGCATCTAGTCGGAGACCATTTCCACAAAGGTGTTCTCTGGCGGGAGCATCTGCTGCCTTTGCCTGTCCGGCACCATGGTCCTTCTTCCAGAAGGGCACCCTGACTGTCCTCTGTAGGACAAGGCTATACCACTGTCACCCTGTGGTTTGAGTGGGACTGCGGCCCATGCACAGCCCAAGGAATAAAACATTCACCCCAGTCTGGACCCATCAGAACATCCCTCCTCCTGGCTCCAGTCCCGGGTCTGGAGTGAGCACATGACCAGAGCCATACCAATGGGGGCCAGGCCAAGCACTGTAACTGGAGCTGAAGGAAGTCTGGAACTATGGCACTCAGAGTGCCAAGAGGGCAGAAGCCTGGAGCCATTGGTGGCCATCCTTGCCCCCCATACCATGGGTGTGTACCTAAGACTGATGCCAACATAAAAGATAACAGAGCTGAGTGACAGAAAAGTAAGTGTTCATTGAGTTTGTTTGAGCTCCCGAGGCCATTGTACCTATGGCCTTACCTTGACCTTTTCATTATATAGCCCACTAATTTCCTTTTATTCTTTAGTCACCCTGAGTTGACTGTTACAATTTCTACAATCAATATAATCCTATACACAGTTGGTTCTTCACTCCCAGGCAGAGCTGGGCTCTCTCTGACCCTAACACTGGCCACAGAGGGTCAGATCTAGCTGTTGGCTCCCAGAACCCTAGATAGCCCCATCATCCTCTGGGACCCTGGGCCCTTTCTGCTGAGTGACAGACACTACTTCCTGTCTGTCATGGAGACTGGTAAGGGCTAATGGTAGGCTGGCTCCAAAGGGATCTCAATGCAGGCAACTGAGGAGGCAGCACTGGGGTTTCAGCATCTCCTTCCTCCATGCTGTCACCACCAAATCACCATGTCGGGACAGTCCCTAGTATCATCCTTGTCCTTGGCTGGTCTCAAGTCCCTGAAGCTCTCTAATGTGCCTACAGTTTGTTTCATGTCCCCGTAGCCCACCCATGTCCTTGAGTTTCCCTCATGTCCCCAGAGCTCACTTGTTTCCCCATAGCTGCCTCATATTCCCAGAGCTACTTCATGTCTCTGGGCTCCTCTCACCGATTGTTGATCTTGTTCTTCTCAACTTGTTCACTCTGGCGTTGGTTCCACTCCTCCAGGTCCTTTTTGGCCTTCTCCCGCCACTCCTGTTCTGTCACTTTAGATGCAGCATCTGTGACCCCAACAGGAGAATAAGTGGTGGTCTTCCAGCAGGCACAGCTGCCATGGATGCTTGGCCCCTCCGCCCCCACCAGGCAGCCTCAGGGCCCACCCTCAGCCAAGTCCCACACTCAGACAGTGTGAGGTCTGTTCCCTAGAGTTCCCCACCTTTACCCTTACCATACCCCAATAGCTCCCAGTGAGCCCTGCGCTCACCCAACTCCTGCAGTCGTTTCTTCTGCTCCTCTCTCCATTTGCGGATGCTCTCAGGCTCCTGAGTCAGCCTGTCAGCCTGGGCGATTGCAGCGTAGCTGTCAGCAGGCCCGTTAGCCTCCTAGGACATAAACACACAGTAGTGTAGCTGGCCCATCACCCCTGCCCAGCTGTCTCTGCTGCTCCTGCTAGCGAATCCCAGTGTTACGGCACCTCTCGCATGTGAACACCTCAACTGCTTAAAGTAACTTCTCATCCACTGCCTCTTGTGACTGCACCCTGCCTTTGCACTCGCTGTTTCTTCTGTCAGTGCTCCCTGTGTGACTAGGTAAGTTACTCAACCTCTCTGGCCTGATCACTGCCCCAAGCCTAGCCACACTCATTTACACCTCATGAAGAGACTCAAGAAACCTTTTGCCAGCCACTTCCTTTATCATAAAGGGGCTGAAAATAATAATACCTACCCTGTAGGGTTGATATAAGAAGGAAATGAGTTAAAATATATTAAGAACGTGGAGCACTTCTCAGTACACAGTGAGTCCCTAGTGTTACCATTATTAAAGTCAACCTGTGTTAGATGTGTATTAACTGTAACACTTATACATTCTCACTTTTTGTTTTTGTTGTTGTTTGTTTTTCTTTTTTGACACAGTGTCTCACTATGTAGCCTTAGCTGGCCTCAAACTCACAGCAATCCTTTCACCTCAGTCTCCCAGGTGTAATCCTAGGGATTACAGGTGTGCACCACAACCCCAGGCTCTGAAATGATTCACTTTATCATGTGTTTGTTTGCCCATTGAACATTTTTATTTGTCCATCAGAACATCATTTTCTGGTGTGTTTATTTGTTCACCATCATGTCACCTCTAAGACAGCAAGGACTTGGTCTGTCTTGTGTACTGCTACGGGCCCCAAGCCCAGCATACTTCCTGGCACACAGCAAATGCTCAGTATATATTTGATGAGTGAGCAAGCAGCCCTGAAATAGGTTGGATAGAACTAGGCATACAGTGATGGCTCTATGAATGGTAGCTAGAATTATTACTGTTATTCATTCCTATTTTATGGGGAGGAAACTGAGGCCCAAAGAGGTGAGCCAACGTAGGGGCCAGAATCCAGGCTTGTGCTCTCTGCCCATTTTGTTGCAGAGCTGGAGACCCACACGCACCCACAGCTGGGACAGAAACCTTAGTGGTTGTGGCTCAGCCCAGCAGCGATGGCGATGAGGCAACCTCGGGTCTGGTAAAGCCAGAGCCCCTTTCTGACATCCCAGCCAGACCCTGCCACACCCCTTCCTGTCTGCATGCATCCCACACACTGCCTCCAACTTTGCTGCCTCCCTTGTCTCCCAGTTCTTTCAGCCTGCAATCATTCCCCTCCCTTCTCCAGCTGGTGAAACTTTCTCCACCCCACGGGTTTCCACCTCAAGAGTCACCAGCCCTGGGACACTGCCCAGACCCTTGCCACCCATCCAAGCAGTTTTCAGGCCCCTCCCTTCTTCTCTGAGCCTCCCCAACCCTGCTGAACTGGACCAGGCATTGCTAGTGGGCAGGGCAGGACCTTGTTTACAGCCCCTGAACCTCATTCCATCACTTCCTGGCTCCCAATTCTCCATCAAGCATTGTCCAAATTGTCATGACTTCCAGTATGGTTTAATGCTTTTCCCACTGGAGAGTGTTGACTATGCCCTCTGTCCTGTTTTGCCCACCACTGTCCTCAACACATAGTAAGTGCTCAGTAAGCCGTGGCCAGTGTGTACCAAGTTCAGAGGAGAGCTTGGTAAGTGATTTTGCCAGGGGATTATGGGCAGCCAGGGTAAAGCAGCAAACAGATGAACCTCAGGGCTCTGTCTCCAGAGTTGTTTGGGGAGTAAGGGAAGAGTGGGTCCAGGGTCCAGGACAGGGTGTCTGAATTAGGCCTGGCCCTTGGGTGGGTGAGCTCTGAGCTCTGGTCTCTCTCTTCTCTCTCCCTTTCTTTTCTGTGTAGTGGTTGAACCCAGGACCTTTGTGATGAGCTAAACCCCCAGCCCACCTCCTTTTTTTTCTTTTTTCTTGAAACAGGGTTTCACTTGTAATTCAGGCTGGCCTTGAATTCACTTCGTAGCTCAGGCTGACCTGAAATTCACAGCAATCCTTCTGCCTCAGCTCCACAAGTGCTGGGATTACAGGCATGTGCCACCACCCCTGGCCCCTAGCCCTTTGTTATTTTTTATCTTACTAAATTGCCCAGAGTGGGTTCAAACTTTGGAGTTTCCCAGAGTGCTGGGATTATAATGTGCCTGCATAGCAGGGCACTTCAATCCAGAGATTTCCTCCTCATGTCCCAAGGGGCCTTCTGAGGCCACTACAAGGGCCATTAAAATGGCTATTCTGCCCCTTTCTGGGAAAGAGGGTGCTACCGAAAACTCCTAACCCCTGCCCTACCGCACTTTCTGTCTGCAGGCACCTGCCTTGTTACCTTGTGTGTGTGCATTTACCCAGGTGCCCTATTTTATTTTCTTTACAGCACTTATCTCTGTCTGAAATGATATAGTGTATTATCTATCACTCCCCTCCAAGAAAGTCACCTCTATGAGGTCAAAGGAGTTTGAAATAAAAATAAAATAAAGGCATGTGTCTAATCCCCACTCCTTTAGCAAACGTGCACCGAGCCCCCCTCTCTAAATGTGTTCCCTGACCCAATTACTTCCCACGTTGTCCACAGGAAAGAATGAGCTTGCTGTCCCTTGCCTCCCCTCTACCTGGCCTGCACATTCCCCAGCTGTGGTCCTCACCTGGGAAAGACTCCTCTTTCCAGGCTCCCAGAAGATGAGCTATCTTGCTCTTCCTTGTCCACTATGTTAATTACTTTTCTCTCATTGCTGAGACAAAATACCTGGCCCCAAAACTTGGGGAAAGGTTTATTTCACTTAGAGTTTTTAGAAGTTTCAGTCCATAGTCGGCTGACTCCAAGACAGGGATGGCAACAGGCCACACAGAGGAGAAACTCCATGGGGCATGCAAGGTAGCAAAGGCAACACAAGGAACCTTAATAGCACCTCCGTGCTCCACAACCTTTTTGAGACAGGGTCTCACTATGTAGTTGAGACTGGCCTGGAGCTCACTATGTAGCCCAGGCTGGTCTCGAACTCACAGCGATCCTCCTGCCTCAGCCTCCAGAGTGCTGGGATTACAGGCGTGTGCCACCATGCCTGGCTCCCTGCCCCTTTTATCTTATTCAGCATGGTCATTCTTTCCTGTGGGCAGAGGACAGCCAGAAAGGATGGGGAAAGGGTATTTCAGGCCAGGAACCACCAGACAGAAAGACTACATGAGGCTGGTGCCTTTGGGAAATTCTAAGTGCCTAAATGCCACCAGGGGTTGGAAGAGATGGGGTGGGGGAATGGGGTAGAGAAGGGCTTCTAGGCAAGCATCTCTTCCCATTTGTGTCTTTAAGTGTTCACCATCTCCAGAAAGCCTATCCTAAGCTTAAGACTCCAGAGCACTTGCAATTAAACGGTAGTCTTTGGTCTTTTACAATTCTACATGGAGTTTTATTATCCTTTTATAGGTAAAGAAAGCCTAGCTCCAAAGTGCCAAGGTCACCGAGACAGGAAGCGGTAGACATGGGGTTCACACTGAATCACCGGATATAAATGTCCTTGTTAGAGCAGCTAATAGGGACCAATTTCCCGTCTGTTTTGCATATCCACATCCGGCCCACCCCTCAGCTCACTTAGTGGCCAGGTTTGGAATTTATAAGAAGCTTTCCAGGCTATAGAGCACTTTGCTCACTAATCTTATTCAAGGCAGCAGGGCAGGGCCTCGAATCCCATTTTACAAATAGGAAAGACTAGAAAGGTTAAGTGAGTAGTCCAAGGTTGTCCAGCTGAGACAAGCCAGGAAGTGAAGTACAGGTCTTCTGGTTCCATCCAAACTTCCACTGCTGCCTAGTCTGGGTCTGGGGGTGCCTCTCAGCCGCTGAGCTGCTGCACTGTACCTCCACTCTCATTGCCTAGTGCCTTCCATAGCACTTGATCTCCCTAGAGGTACAGGTGACCCTGCCTCAGACCAGATGTGAGGCCTGCCCAAGCTGGGTCCAGTTACTCTGCCACGCACACACCAGCAGTATGTACTGTGCTCCACCCCAGAGCACACCAGCCCTGCCCCTCTCCACCTCCCCACTCTCTTGGCACATCCCTCTGTGCACTAGGACTCTGAGTGACCATGTGGACTCTGCATGAACTCCCCGCTAAGTGTCTTATCCTTTGCACCTCTGCATATGTTGTCCCTAGGCCAGGACCACCCCACACCTCACCTTGGCCATCTGGAAACCCACCTCCAGCATTCCTGCCCTGGTGCACTCCCTGACTGAATTCAAACTATGAGCGAGCTATTAAACCTCCTGTGTAAAATGGGAATAATGAAAGAACCTGACTTTCATCCTTACAGAGCTTCTGGAAGATGCTGTCACATAGGAAGAATGCAAAGTGCTAACTTTTTCTTCTTTCTTTCTAAGAACGACTTTTTTGGTTCTTGTTTTGTTTTGTTTTGTTTTGCTTTTCTGGTACTAGGGATTAAACCCAGGGCCCTCTCATTGCACTACATTCCCAGCCCTTTAAAAAATTTTAGGGCCTGGGATTTAGCTCAGTGGTGCCGCCACCTGTCTTGCAAGCGCAAGGTGAGCTAAATGCCCGCCTCACCCACCTTCCTCTTTACAAAAAAAAAAAATTTAAATTTTGAGACAAGTTCTCACTTGTGGCTAAGTTGTTCAGGTTGAGCTCAAATTCATAATTCTCCTGCTTCAAACTCCCACAGTGCTGGGGTTATAGGCATACAACCTCCACACTCAGCCACTTTCTTCCTTTCTTTTTCTTTTTTTCCTTTCTTTCCTTTTTCTACCATCCTCAACTCCTCCCCTCTCCTCCTCCTCCCCTCTTCTACCTTCTTCTTTTTCTTCTCTGTCTGTCTCTGTCTATTTCTCTCTCTGTGTCTCTTTCCCTGTTCATTTTGAGACAAGGTATGGCTCTGTGGCCCACCCAGATTAGCCTCAAAATTGAAGTCCTCCTGCCTCAACCGCCTGGGACTATAGGCATGCACCATGGGCCTAGCTTCAAACTGTTAATGCTCGATACTACCCTTCCATCTGAACCCCCTACCATCCTGGACAACCATTATTTCTTTCCAGGCCTGTCCCCTTATATTAGATACAATTTCTTTGAACACAAACACTCCATGGATTTGCCTCCATATCCCCTACCCAGAATAGGCCATGGTCCTCAAAGACTGAGTTAACTAAATGAATAAACTAGTGTCTGATTATAAAGTGACATGGGATGCCAAGTGTGATGGCACACACCTGCAATCCCAACACTCAGGAGGCTGAGGCAGGAGAATTGCTTTGAGTTCAAGGTCAGCCTGGGCTGAGTCTAAGACCATCTTGGAATACATAGCAAAATCCTGTCTCAAAAAAAAAAAAGATATGGGGGCTGGGGTTGTAGCTCAGTGGTGGAGTACTTGCCTAGCATGCACAATGCCTTGAATACCCAGTACTGCAAAAATTAATGTGGAGGGTACAGGCAAAGTACTGGACACAGTATAATAGGAATAGGATTTTACAGCCCTATTCTGCCACTTATTGGGTGATGACCATTGAAAAAGACCCTTCCCCTTGAATCTGTTAAACAAAAGTGACAACATCCCACCCAAGATACAAAGTAAGAATCACATGAAATAAATGTGATAGAAATGCCCATAGCCTGTAGAGGGTGCTTGTGTGAGGGATAGCACAGTTATCATGGTTCACTGCTGCTCCATACATGCCAGCCCTCACTGCACATGGACCAGGCCAGCATCATAGGGCTCTAGCAGCCCAAGTCCTGAAAAGCAGGTTTTCTGTTGCTGTTATTGTTTGCTTGTTGTGGTACTAGGGATTGAACCCCAGGCCTTCATACTGAGCTACATCCCCTTTTTTATTTTTTTATTTGAGAAAGGTCTGAGTCACTAAATTGCCCAGCTGGGCTCAAATGTTTAGTTCTGCCTCAGCCTCCCAGAATGCTAGGATTACAGTCATTTGCCTCTACACTTGGCTTCTGAGAAGCTGTTTGCTGACTTCTCTTCTCCAAGCTTCTGTGGTTTTATTTTCCTGCCCCTGACAGTGAGGGTTGAGGCACCCACAACTGAGCTCTTACTTAATCACTGGAGCACCCCAGGTGTGCTAGAAAACTGACAGGCCAGGGGTCTCACCAGTAGCTATAGAAATGGTCTGAGCCAGGAGTTCAAGTTAAGAAATGGGGCCAGGAGTTCCCAGGACCAGAAGACAGATGGCTACAGGCAGGCTTATCTTAGCCCAGCTCCCTGGCACCCCTCTCCTGACGGATTCCTAGGACAGTCACTGCCTTGAGAACCTCTGTAGACCATGCTGGCCCTGCATGTGTTGTGACTCCAGGGACAGCCAGCAGGCTGGGGCATATCCCTCTTTGGGATTGACCAGCTAAAGCTAAGTTGAGCTGAGCTGTTGATTCTTCTAAGTAGCTCAAAGGAGGATGATGGGGTGGCGGGGGCAGAATTTCTACAGGGGCAGGGAGGAGGAAGAGTTCTTCAGGGGCCTCCTGTCCTTGCCTCCCCCTACCCTGGGTACCAAATGGAGCTGGAATAGATGTGGGCAGGCTCATCCTTCAGCCACATTGGGGACCAGGTTTATAACTGGATTCCTGAGTGGCCCACAGGCTGCTGGAAAAGACTGAAGCACAAAAGCTCTGCCAAGATGCCATGAACGCATTGGGTTAGCACAAGAAAGTGAAGCTCAGACACAGCTATGCTCAATCCAAAAGATAGCTTCTGGGTCTCTCCACCAGCAACCAGCTGCTGTAGCCCTCTAGTTCCAGTAGCAGGGGGTGTAATATAACACCAAGCTCACCCAATCAGGAATCAGAAGATGTGAGAAAACTGGAGATTTGCCACTAAGCTTCTCAATGACTTGCCCCTGCCTGGTAGAATTCTAGGATGGCACTGATGTGAAATAATTTACAAAGAAACATGCCTGAGATCATTATTATTAGCAGTGAGAAAAATAATTCCTTCAGAGACAGAAAAGGAGCCCCAGGGTTCCTGAATCCCCCGGTTGCAAGGTGGAGCTGGGGAGCTGGGGAAAAGAGGAGGAGTCAAGTCAGGGGAGTCAAATCAACCAAATGAGGCAACTCCAGAACTGGATGATTTCCTATGTGACTTTACATTAGTCACTTTACCTCTGACACTCAACTTTCTAATCAATTGAAAAGTAAAATTATCTGGCTCAGACTGTTCTAGGTACTTCTGAGCTTTTCAGCATATCTCCAGATCCAGATCCCCTTTAGGACATGGACATTTTGGGTCAAACCAAGTCTCCTTGGGGGACTTAGACCTGGTAGTCTAAGTCTCAAAGCTCTAGCATGCTGTGCAGCAGTAAATAGTCATTGTGTGACTCTGTCAGCCTCAAGTGGACAGAAAGCTGCTACAATCCTAGAGACCGACTTTTCCGGCTTGCTAAAGGTTGAGTAATTTTCCAAAAACAGAACTTGGCCAGTTTCCTTGTGAAAGGTACCAGCCCATCCCGCTTACATAAGAAAGCATTGTTTATTCTCCCAGAGCATTCAAGAGCCCAGCTTCTCCAGGACTAGGGAGATTTCACAGGGGCGGCCCCAGTGATCCAGCCCATGATCTAATCGGAGTGGGAATCAAGGTGAATTCAGTGCAGTTTAGCCCCACCCAGGTACCTGGGGCATCAGAGTGAGAACTGTGTATTTGTGGGGTTCTGGGGTGTCATTTGTAGTCTGGTTCTCTCAGTTTAAGTTCTCTAAAACTGATGTGTATATATGATGAGACGGAGTTAGCTGACTACACAGAGAAGCAACCTTGCTTTGTTTTGTTTCTTTTGTGGTGCTGGACATTAAATCTGGGGCCTCCCCGACTGAGCTACATCTCCAGCCTGAGGAGCAGTCTTTAGGTGTTTGTTTTTTTTCCCCTCCTAGTACTGGGGATCCAACACAGTGCCTTGCCAAGACTAGTCAAGCACTCATTCTGCCACTGAGCCACATCCCCACCCCCAGGAATATCTTAACTAGGTTTCCCCCATTTTGTGTTATAGAATTTTTTTTTTTTTAACTTTTTGAGACAGGGTCTCACTATGTAATTCAACCTGGCCTCACTATGTAGCCTACACAACTCAAACTCAAAGCAGTCCACCACTTCAGCCTCCTCTGGAGTGCTGTAATTACAGGTGTGGGCCACCAGGCCCCATTATGTTTGTAGAATCACCATTTTTTAAAATCCAGTGAAAGCGAAAGGACTTTCTTATCCCCACCCTACCCTGCACCCTCAGGGTTAACAACCGTTAACAATGGGGCACACCCTCTCAGATAGTTTGTGCAAACTTTTAAATTTTTTTTGTCCTGGGGATTAAACCCAGCTTTTACACTGAGCTGCGTCCCCAGTCTTTATTTTTGAGACAGCCTCTCTTGCTATATTGCTGAGCCACGAAGACTGCGCTCAAATTTTCAATCCTCTGGCCTCAACCTTCCAGAGTGTTAGGATTACAGGCCTGGCCCACTTTATGCAAACATTTTTAAAATAAAAAAGCAGGAGCATACTTTACATATTATTCTGCACTCTGCTCTTTTCCACTTAACAGACAGTGGGCGTCTTTGTACATTAATCCAGGAAGCTCTCACACTGCCCTTTTGTAACAACAACATGGTTTCCAGTCTATTTATCCAGGCCCCTGATGCTGGGCACTTAGGTTGTTTCTAGTTTGTCTGCTATTATAAATAATCTTGCAAAGAAGCTGGGTGTTCTTTCTAATTATTTGCTTAGGGAAAATTGCAAGCAGTAGAACCTTTTCATCAAAGGACCTGTGCTCTGCTAAAGTGCTCACGCGTGTAGGAGATGGCCACTCAGTTCACCCTCCCACCAGTGACACATGCTCAGGCAGGGCCCTATCTCCCCTTCATCCCAAGTGGACCACTGTGGGCTACTTCATTTTTCCCTTCTGAAGCTTGGTATCACCATGGATAACCTGAGGTTGTCCATTAATCTGTCTCTACACAACCATATTCTTCATCTCCTCCTCCTACTTGATAAGAAAACATGTCAAAACTCTTTTCTAACTCCCATCTGAAAACATCACATATAATGAACAGAATATGGAGCACTGAGCCTAAATGAGGACAGAGCCATAAATTATTGAGCCCTAAGCTGTCAGCACTCCCCACTCACTGCTAAGACAGAATTACTTACCTGAAACACATCTCCATTGACTGTAGTCCCCATATCCTCAGAACCAGCTAGAAAAAGAACAAGGAGACAGCATCACTCATGGTTCAGCTTATAGCAAGCACAGACTGGCCCTGTATTAGACACACACACAGGCATAGCAGATACATAAATATCTGGGGCTCAGTTCTTGACTCTTTACAATGTCATGCACAGCCATCACCACGTCTGATTTTCATAGATCTATGATGAAGTTCCAGCATTTTATAGGTTCTCAAACAGAAACTCAGAGAGAGTACATAACTGCTGAAGATTACCCAGCCAGTAATAGTTCCCTACCTACCTGAAGTTAATAACCCCATGGATGAGGCTGGAAATGGCCTGACTGTCTGGAGCCCAGAACTGGGGAGTAGTCAGAGGCACTGAAGGTCAGGGCAGGGGCTACCAGAGTAAGGAAGAGAGGGGCCTGTGCGTCTCTGCCTGTCCTGGTGGAGCAGTGAGCAATTGCTTTCCCTGGGAGAGCAGTAACCACAGTTCCCACTGGGCAGCACCTGGCCTATTTTTCCTCTGTGCCCCTCCCAGGATTTCACTCTGCATTCAACAATGACTCTTCAAAGCCCTTTTGCCTGATATCTGATTAGTCACAAATTCCTGTAGTTTCTGCTGCAACAGTGATCCGCATAGATGCCCTCCACTCCCTCCCTGATGCCCAAACCCAGCCTGGGCACTCATCAGCTCTCACCTGCACACCTGCTTCAGTCTGTCTGCCCTGCTAAATACCTGGAAAGGCAAAACTCATCTCTTTCTTTTTCCTCACAACTGTCTTCCCTAGAGCCATGCACAATGTGTTGTGCCTTTGTAAGAGTTCAGTAATTACGGTATTGTTAAATAAACAAAGGAATATATTCATTTTTATTTTTTCTTATACTGGATGTTGAACCCAGGACCTCATACATGCTAAGCACACACTCTACCACTGAGCTACACCCTCAGCCCTCTAATTTGTTTTGAAATAAATTGCCCAAGATTTGTGGCCTCACAATTCTAAATGTACTCAAGATTTGTACTCAAGATTCTCCCACCTTAGTCTCCCAAGTAGCTAGGATAGACATGCACCACCATGCCCAACTCTTTCTTTCTTTCTTGTTCTTTTTTTTGTGTGTGTGGTACCAGGAATCGAACTCAGGACCTTGCATTTGTAAGGCCATGTGGCACCACTGAGCTAAATCCCCAGCCCCCAACTCTTTCTTTCCCGTCATCCTTTCCTTTCCCTCCCTCCCTCTTTCCTGCCCTCTTCCCTCCCTCCCTCACTCCATTGCAGCATAGGGATTGAACTCAGGGCCTTCTCAATGAGCTACATTCCCAGCCCTCTAAACCACTAAATTGCCCAGGCTGTGCTCAAACTTGTGATCTCTCTGTCTCAGCCTTGCAAAGTCTAGAATCACAGGTGTGCACCACCATGCCCAGATCTGCCTTGGGGACTTTGCAGGTGCTGTGCTCTGTGTCTGGAAAGTTCTCCTATACATTTCCATATGGACTGCTGCCTTACTCCCTTCAGCTTCTGCTTGTACTTGTTCTTCCTTAGAGGGCTTCCCTGATCATCTGTCTTACTCACCCCTCAGGTATCTGCTTCCCAGCAGGGTTTGCTCTACAGCATTTACCTTGACCTGATATGTTCATCTGTGCATGTATCTGTCTTCCCCACTTGAATGGACCCTCCTTGCAGGCAGGGTCTTTGTTTTGACCACAGTAGGGCCCAAAACCAGAGCCAATTCAATAAATACTTGCCTAATAAGTACATCCAACCCTGGAGAACAGCTCATGAGGACCTTTACAGTTTGCCTCTGCCTATTTTTCCTGGCTCACTTCCTACCAGCCCTACCCAAAAATACTGCTTCCCTCTCTAAAGAGTACTTTCCATAAGCCGTCTCCACCAAGAAGCCCTAACCTGCTTCCTCTATGTCCCTCAACACTAATGGAAGGTCTTACTTCCGGGGGATACCAGAATATCATGTGCAATTACCTGTGACCCTGTGGCAGATACTCCCTTACCAGGCTCTGCATCCTATCCAGCTTCTAAGGGCTCCTGCACAGAATGGGTGAGCAACAATGGATGGTTAAATGGGAGTTGGATTGTTCTTTGGGGCCCACTGTAATTTGCAAGGCCTCTCAGAAACTGCAGTGCCTCCTAGCAAAGAAAACAGGAGGCCACACAAGATTATTGCAAATGGACATATATGCCTGTACCAACTGCACAGAGTGTGAGCAGCAGTGACAGTGCTTTAGGCCTGATGACTGACAGGACCAAAAGGAGAGGTACTTAATCTCAGTTAATGCAAGTGATACTTTATTTGCAAAGTCAAACAGTGATTGGTTTGGGCCCATTATGTCAGATGTCATCATCACCCTTTCAGATACAGTCCCTGCCAAGGGTCCCTAAATGAGGGCGGAACCAACCCAGGAGACCAATGGGGTCTTGTTCTCCTAGGGCATTTTCTCTCCCTGCGCCTTCTGTTGCCAGCTATTATAGATGATGAAGCCTTTGGGAGAAGCTGCACCAGCCCCTCCTATAACCAGCCACATTCTTAGAACCCTCATTGCAGGGAGCTGCCCAGGGCCCACCTGGGGCTCCAGAAAGTCTCTGCTCCAAACTCAATTCTCTCTGGAGATGCATTTTAGCCTCTCTGGGAATCCACACCTAACAGCACAGAATGACCAGTATCTGCTCCACTAAGCCCTCTGATTACCACACATTTATAATCATGGGTCGGAAACCTGAGCCTGCAGAACAAGAATAAGGCAAATACAAGTCCCATGGATAAACCCCTGGGTGCATGGCATCCCTAGCTGCCTGACCCATTTTGAAATAAGGGTGGAGAAGGACCAGAACATTCCTCTGAGCTTACTGAGGCCCAGTACAGGAAATGGGCTTGCCCAGAACTGACAAACAAGTCACAGCCAGGTCTGGCATCCAGAAAACTGGGTGTGAAAATGTAAACCTCTTGGGCTCTACCCAGGGTTGATGAATGGAAACAAGTGTTCCTGGCTCAGGTTGGCCACAGACCCAGCCCACAGGAGAGGCTCAGTGTGACTCGGGCTCAGGTGTGCACGGGACACCTCTTTCTCTAGGGACACTGCAAGCCCAACATCAGGGCACTTAGCACAGAGGCCACTAATCAGAGGACCCCATCATCTAAGAGTCAGTGACTCAGAGGTGTTGATTGGTGGCTGGTGCTGGAGCCAGCTTCCACCCATCTCCCAGCAGTCCATGACACTTTTTCTCAGCCCCATACACTCATCATGGGCCAGCAGGAGACTATCTGTTCAGCACGTCCTAGGCTTAGAAGGAGTGGATCAGTTCTATCCATGTCTAGCCAACCATTGAGTCACAAACCCACAATATCTCCCTGCTCCCGATATCCCCTTAGAAGGGCAACTAAGCATTTGTGGCCTCAGCATTATGAGTCTGGGAGACCCTCTGAAGGCTGTGTCACTGGCAGCTCCCTAGGAGATAGCATGTTGCCACTTTTCTCCCTGTCATCTCGGGTATGCAGCCAATTGTGACCCACCCTGCCACGAGAGGGATCCTCCACCTTCATGACAAGGCCCTAGAGCCACACTGTCCTGAGAGAAGACATAATTTACTGTCCAATCCCCTGGATTCTACCTGCCCTTCTCTTTCATAGGGTTCTGACAATGTGCAGTGTCCTACAATCAGCCAGCCAGATTAGTGGATGTGTGGTCTTAAGCAGAAAGTGTGGACAAATGACTATGGGTGCATGAACTTGGACAAACATTTCCTAGGGATTCCCTAGGTCATCAGAGGGTCTGTTCTGAGGGGCTGGGCACTCCTGCTTCAGAAGTTCTCTGTTGCTAGTTTGGTCAGGTAGTGAAAGACCCCTACTTTCTCACCCCCACATTTAATCACCTCCTCCACTGACCACCACAGCATTTGAAAGAATATGGAGTCCAGAGCTCAGAGGGTGGGAATCAAGTCCCAGATCTGTTATTCACAGCTGTGTGACTCCAGGTAAGATATTCATAATTTCTGGGCCTCCAGTTTCTTATATATTACAAAAGCGTTGTTGCATTTCTTATATCAAGGAATTCAGGGTTGCCTCAACTCCTTAGTCACAAGAACTGTCTAATTCATTTCTGTATTTCCAGTGGACCTAGCATTCAGTAGGTGCTCAGCAAATGTTGAATGAATACAAATGTGACTATTGAAGGGCCACACACACACACACACACCCCCTTATTTCAGAGGGCACAGAAACCCCTTCAAAATGAAAACAATAACAGGAAAGGTGTGTTTGAGATGCACACATGAATGTGATATCTACTTTTTTACTAAATAATTTAAGCAATTGTTCTTTTGAGCCAGAACCAGAACAGGGCCATCACCGAGGAGCATGATATTGCAAGAACCAGGCCCTGAACCCTGAGGTCTGAAGCCAACCATAGTAGCTTTGGACTGCCTTTGAAAAACCATTAATTACAAAGTTCAAACCCCTGGAGAGCAATAACACACCCGATGGATGTCCCTTTGTGCCCCCTGCCCTGACTCTGGGAGCTAATTCAGAGCCAGGCACACCGAAGACAGAGTGGTCAGGTGGAAAGGGCTTAGAGTCTGACAGAAACAGGTTTAAACCTTGATCTGTCACTTACTAGTTGTTTCAATAATGTACTTTTTTGATGCTCAATTTTGCCAGCTCAGAAATGGGCTCATTAATTCATATGAAATGATTAAATGTAATTAACCTGCCTACCCCAGAGGCTACAGAATGGCAGGTGGTCCCCAGGGAAGATGTGTGAGTTCTCAGAACACCAAGCTTTCCCATAGATGTAAGAGCTAAGCACGAGGGACCAAGAGATCTGTGCTCACCCCTGTACTATTTAACTGAGAGCCTGGGACAGCCACGCTATGAGCAGGCCCAAGGGAGATAGAGTGGGGTGGGGGTGGGGTTCCGGAGCCAGGCCATAGTGGAGCTGGCCCAGGGAAGAAATAACACGACCAAATTCCTGCTCGGGGAGTGAGCACATCACAAACCTAGGACAGGCCTCAGCTCAGAGAGCCTAGACAGAGATCTCACTCACCCTCCCCGCTCCTCCCAAGGTCTCACTCAGGGACACACAGTCCCTGGCCTGCTCCTGTTTGGCCCTCTTGGTTCTACCGCAGGACTCCGAGGCCGCGCAGCCTGGGTCACCAACCCCTACGTGACAGTCTCCAGCCCCCCAGCTCCCGGGCCACAGCGCTGACTCACCCCCACTGGCGGGTCCCGGCTGCGCGGAGGCCACCTGGCTGCGGGCAGGTGCACCGAAGCCCTCGTCATTCTCTATGCCTGCGATCTCGCTCTCTTGTTGGGCCAGGAAAGCAGCCGCCGGGTCTTCTTCGGCCG